TCTGGCTTCCAGTAGATGTGCTGGTGAGATTCAACAATGTCTAGCAGGAATTTGTTCCTTTTCGTTGCTACGTAGTATTCCGTTGTGGGGGCGTATCACACTTTGATTTTACTCCGTTCTGCTGTTGAACACTTGAGTTGTTTTCAGTTTTGTACGTAACATCAGTTAGAAATGACTGTGGTGAACATTCGTGGGGGGGTGGAGCTGCTGCCTCCCAAGCACCTCACTTTCCTCCCCTGGGTTTCCCTCAGGTGCCTTAACGAGGTCCCTGTTGATGGGCAGTTAGGTGTCCTCAACATAATAAAGCCCACAGCTAACATCAAAAGCTGAAAGCTTTTGCTCTAAAATCAGGAACAAGACAAGGATCCCCGCTCTCACCACTTCTATTCAACATCGTATTGGCAGTCCTAGCCACAGCAATTTGGCAACAAAAAGAAAGAAAAGGCATCCAAATTGGAAAGGAAGAAGTAAAACTCACTTCTTGCAGATGACATGAAATTATACATAGAAAAAACTAAAGACTACATCCAAAAACTGTTAGAACTGATAAACGAATTCAGTAAAGTTGCAGGGTACAAAATTAATATACAGAAATCTGTTGTGTTTCTCTATACAGTGAAAGTAAACTACCAGAAAGAGAAATGAAGAAAACGGTCCCATTTATAATTGAAATAATTCAAAGAGAATAATTCAAAGAGAATAAAATACCTAGGAATAAGTTTAACCAAGGAGGTGAAAGTCCTGTACACTGAAAACTGTAAGACATTGATGAAAGAAACTGAGGAAGACACAAATAAATGGAAAGATATTCCATGCTCATGGATTGGAAGAATTAATATTGTTTAAATGCCCATACTACCCAAAGCAATCTATAGATTCAGTGCAGTCCTCTAAAAATTCCAATGACATTTTTCACAGAAACAGAACAAACAATCCTAAACTCTTCATGGAACCACAAAAGACCCCAAATTGCCAAGTCAATCTTGAGAAAGACACAGCTGAAGGCTTCATGCTCTGTGATTTCAAACTATATTACAAGCCTCTAGTAATCAAAACAATATGGTATTGGCATAAAACAGACACATAGATCAATGGAACAGAATAGACCGGAAATAAACCCACACTTATGTGGTCAGTTAATTTACAACAGAGGAGCCAAGAATATACAATGGGGAAAGGACAGTCTCTTCAATAAATGGTGTTGAGAAAACTGGACCACTATCTTACACCATGTACAAAATTTAGCTCAAAATGGATTAAAAAACGTTAAGACTTGAAACCATAAAACTCCTAAAAGAAAACAGTAAGCTCCCTGGCATTGGTCTCGGCAATGATTTTTTGGATCTGACACCAAAAGCAAAGGCAACAAAAGCAAAAATAAATAAGTGGGACTACATCAAACTAAAAAGCTTCTGCACAGCAAAGGAGACCATCAACAACATGAAAAGGGAACCTACGGAATGGGAGAAAATATTTGTGAACCACATATCCGATAAGGAGTTAATATCTAAAATATATAAAGAACGCATATAACTCAGTAGCAAAAAAGCAAACAATCCAGTTACAATTGGGCAGAAGACCTGAATAGACATTTTCCCAAAAAAAGACACACAAATGGCCCACAGATACATGAAAAGGTGCCCAACATCACTAATCATTAAGTTTTGTTTTTTGTTGGTTTTCCTATTTTTGGTCACGCCTTGAGGCACGCGGGATCTTAGTTCCCTGACCAGGGATTGAACCCGTGCCCCCTGCAGTGGAAGCGCAGAGTCCTAACCACTGGACCACCAGGGAATTCCATCGTCACTAATCATTAGGGAAATGCAAATCAAGATCACAGAGAGACATCACCTCACACATATTAGAATGACTATTATCCAAAAGACAACAGATAACGAATGTTGACTAGGACGCGGAGAAAGGGAACCCTTGTGCACTGTTGGTGGGAATGTAAATGGCTGCAGCCTCTGTGGAAAACTGTGGAGATTCCTCAAAAAATTTAAAATAGAACTACCATATGATCCAGCAGTTCCACTTCTGGGTATTTATCTGAAGGAAATGAAAACACTAACTCAGAAAGATATCTGCACCCCTGTGTTCATCCCAGCATTATCTACAACTGCCAAGATACAGAAGCAACTGAAGCGCCCATCCGTGGATGAATGGATAGAAGATGTGGTACATACATACAACGGAATGTTACTCAGCCATTAAAAAAACGGAACCCTGCCATTTGTGACAACATGGATGCCCCTAGAGGGCATTGTGCTAAGTGAAGGAAGAGAGACAGAAAGATGAATATACGATCTCACAGGTATGTGGAATCTTAAAAAAAAAAAAAAAAAACTGAACTGATACAGAGAACAGATGTGTGGTTGCCAGAGGCGGAAGGTAGGGACTGGAGGACGCGACGAAGGGGGTCAAAAGGCACGAACTTCCGATTATAAACGAAGTCACAGGATGTAATGTACGACACGGCAGCTCTAGTTAACAATGCTGTAGTGCGTATTGACAGCTGATGGGAAGTTGGTCTTCAGAGTTCTCGTCACATTCCGTAACTCTGTGAGGTGCTGGATGTTAAGTGGATTTACTGTGGCGATCGTTTCACAGTATATACAGATACAGAATCGTTATGCTGTCCACCTAAAACTAATATAATTTGTCAATTAAACCTCAACAAAACAATAATAAGGTGTTGTGTCTGACACTGATATTCCAGGATTAAGACGCTAAACCCAGCACAGCACTGGAGGCCCCCCAGCCTCCAGGGCACCTCTCTGCCGGATCTGTGTCCAGCGCCCTGCACAGTCTGGCCTGAGGAGGGTCCAGCCTGGGGACCTGAGGGCACAGGGCATGACAAGACATGAGGGGAGTGGGAAGGGCAGCGATGGGGGTGTCACTGCAGGGGTGCTGGGCCAGGGATGCCCCTTCCCTCTCAGCAAAGGTGGGGAGCCCTTCCCAGACTTGAGTTGGGGTCCAGGGTCCCTGAGACCTCCTCCCACCACCACACAGTGGCCCGTGGGCCTCAGCCCTGGTGGCTGACAGCTTTGCTGAGGTGACCCTGCTGGACTTGGCCACCAAGTGCTGGCTAGCCGCCCCTCGCAGCTCTGGAGGAAAGGCAGGCAGTTGTCTGGTCCCCACTTGGCCCTGTGTGGCCGCCCTAGCTGGCTTAGCCCTAGCGCCCCTGAGCCTCGCTGGCTGGAGGGCAGCCATCGTACGTCAGGACAAACCCCTGCCCTTGGCATTCGTGCCCCGTGGCCCCTGCACAGACTCCCGGCTCCCCGACCGCCCCTCTCGTGGTGCCTTTGGCCAGGCCCGGCTGACCCCGCAGGGAACGGCTCTGCTTCCCGTGACCGTGTTGCTGCAGGTGCACGCTGCCCAGGAGACCCCTCGGCCACCCACAGCGCCGGAGGGGGGCGCGGAGACCCTTCCTCCATGCCCCACGCATCCATGGCCCTGTGTTAGCCTCACGGAAGCTCAGCAGACTCATCTTATTTGGAAAACGGGAGACCCCAGACGCCAGCCACTCAAGGTCACTGGTAAGGCCCGGGACCCCCAGTTGCCTGTCCCCGAGCAGGCGCGTGCAGCCTGCCCAGGGCATGGAGCTCGGCCCCCCTCCCACCTGAGGGAACCCTGACACAGCTGAAGCCCCGGACTGGGGTACACCGGCCACGCTTTGCCCCACTTGTGCCTTAAAAGTGAAGCCTGCTACCCTGGAGTCCCATCCAGGGCGTGTGAAAACCAGACCTGTTTGTTGAGCAGCTCCGGGGCCTTCGCCGCCCACGAGGCACTTTGCCGCCACAGGCTCGGCAGGGGAGGGGGACTGAAGTGCTAGCCCCACTGGCCTGAGGGACCCGCCGCCAGGAGGAGGAGGTGTGGGGTGCAGCCGCTTGGGCTCCCCACGGGCAGGCTAACCACGGCTCGCTGGGTCCGGGCTGGGATCGCGGCAGGAGGCAGGGAGGGATGGGTCTGCGTGGGCCCTGCTCGGGATCCCCACCAGGCAGAGCAGGGCCCCATCTCATCTCTGAGGCCCGGGTGGGACAGCCCGGCTTGGCGAGGAGGACAGGAAGCCCACCGCCAACTCCAGGAACTTCCCACCATCCGGACTCCCATTGGCCAGTGGAGGGGGAACCAGCCCACCGGCCCGCTGAGCCCTGGACCCCCCAAGGCCACAGGGAGAGCCCCACCCAGCCACCAGGAGTCCCTCTGTGTGTCCAGAGGCACGTGGCACGAGCCCTCACCCTCAGGAAATAACTGGCCGGTCGACAGTGGAACACGAGTGATTTTAAACCATTTACAGAACTAACTAAATGGGTCCCAAGAAGCGGGCAGTCAGCTGAGCGCACGAGGGCCATGCCATCCAGGCGCAGGGCAGCAGTGACCCAGAGGGGACAGCGGGGGCCCTGCAGAGGGCGCCACGTGGTGGGGCCTGGCCGGGTCCCCCGTGGTTGGGGACACGCGTTTGGCTGGGACACATCGTCGTCACCGGGCCGCCGCCTCCAGGGAAGGCGCGGGCAGGTCGCATCCCAGAACCGGAGACTGCTCGCCAGACGCCGCCTCAGGTCCACCTGGAGCCGCCCGACACCTGTCCAGGCGGCACCTCCCGCCGGCCTGGGGACCAGAGCAGGCGTCAGAGGAGCGCCCCGGAGCCGTCCACCCGCCCCCACCCCCGCCCCGGGCCCGGGCAGCGCGCCCACCCTCGGCTCGGAGCCTGAGCGCCAGGACGCAGCAGAGGTGCCGCGGGGCCGCTCCCTCGAGCCGACGGGTCGCGTCGCAGTCCGGCCGCCTCACCGCGGGGTCCCCTTCCGCCTCTGCTCCAGCGCCGGCAGCCTCTCCTCCCGGGCCTGCGCGTGCCGGGCCCCCGCCCTGTGCGCCGCCTCTGTGGCCAAGATGTCGATCTGCGCGTAGCGGGAAGCACCGGCCCCTGCGAGCAGCCCCAGGTGAGCCGGCGGGGGCGCACCCACCCCGCGCTCCGGCCAGGGCCTGAGCGCCGGCTTCGGGGCTGTGAGGGGGTGCCCGCGAGCCCCTGGCCCAGGGCCGATGCGCCCGGGGCTCAAGGCCCCTGCGGACCCACCTCGGATGCCCGCGCCGCCCTCCTGGAGCTGCAGGCCCAAGTAGTGCAGCTGCCTTGGGGGCGAAGGGCTGGCGGGGACGTTCACATATGTGGGCGCCTCACTGCACGGCCTCTCGGGTCCTGCGGGGAGAGGGGCTGTGAGTCCCCAGGCGGTGGCCGAGGCTGAGCTGACCCTCTAGACTGTTCGGGAAAGAGCTCCCCACTGCCCACCCCTCAAGTGTCCCGCTCTCCTCCTCTCCAGGGCCTGGGGAGCCTCCCCGACTCCCCCGTTTTCCTGGCCATCTTTTCCCACCCCACCCACGTCCCTCCCTGACCGGGGTGCCCCTGCCCCCCACAACGGGCTGACCAGGGATGCCCCCTATGGCCCGCTGGACACACGTCCATCTTCAAACATGGCCGCCCACCCTCAAACATCCCTCCCGGCCACTTCCTCCTTGGCTTCCAGGTGCCCTGCCCCTCCCAGGCAGGATGCCCCTCCCCCTCGGCTGTCCTCCCGGCTCACCCCATCTGCTTCAGGGACCCTCTTTGGACCGGTGAGTCCCCACAGAGCATCGTTCCCTGAGCGCAGGCCCACACTTCCATCCACTGTGACACCTCCTCCAGGGTGGCCCCAGGCACTTCAAGTCCCCTCCCCCATCCAAGAAACTGCCCCCTGCCTCCCCCATTTCCTAGAAGTCGATGGTTTCACTCAGCAAACGCCAACGGGGCTCCGGGCAGGTGCGACAGGAGCGCGGGGTGGGGGGGGGGACCCAGAGTGCCTGGCTGCACACCCGATCCACCTTTCCCCCACCTGCCCAAGAGCTCTGCCTGTTGGGCCCCGGGGTGGCTGCAGGAGACCAGGTTCACGACCCTGCCTGGCCACTCACCGGCAGCCGAACCACAGGGGCTGGTGAGCCAGAGCCATCCCAGAGGGCAGGAGCGCAGGTCCTCCCTCCTCCCTGAGGGCCCCGTCTCGCGACACAGCCACGCCTAGGGACTCGCGCAAATCCACCTGGCCAGCTCCCGGCCCCAAGGGATTCAGGGGCCGGGATTCTGGTGGGGGTGGGATCTGGGGGGAGTGGGATTCCGGGAGGGAGGAGTCAGGAGGGGGGTGGGATCAGGTGGGGGGTTGAAGCTCCCACAGGACAGCCTGTCTCTGGCCACCTGCCCACAGGTCCGGGGGAGCTGAGCCCGGGAGGGTCCTGGCTCTGCCGGCACCGGGCACTGGAGCGCCAACCAGCCCAAGGGGCTTCAGTGGGCAGACGCCACCCCACTCGCTGCCACATACTGGCACCGGGCACCACTGTGGGCACCACCTTCTGGAGGCCCGCACCTGCACTGAAGCCTGCCACCTCATCCCTTTACCTCCCCAGCAAGGCCAGAGGGCGTCCTCCTTGCTCAGCAGGGAGACTGAGGCCAGAGAGACCCTGTGTTCCCAAGGCAGCCAGCCTGGTGGGAATGGCCAAAGCTGGGGGTGGGGACGGCAGCCAGAGCGGGCTGTACCCGGGGCTGACCTGCGGCGACAGGGAGGGAAGGAGGAAGGCTTCTGTTGGACACAGACCCTCTCCCGTGTAACCCGAGATGACAGGCAGAGGCGCCCAGGGAGGCACCTAGACCGGGGGTCCAGGGGAAATCTGGGCAGCCTGCCTGGAGAAGGGGGCACACGCTGAGGGGTGAAGCTGGGGAGCGGGAAGCGGGAAGGCCTGATTGAAGCTGGGAGAGCCCATCAGGGGCTGAGACGGGGTCTGAGGGGAGTCTAGGAAGGAGGCCCAGCCTCCTGAAAGCTGAAAGGAGGGCTGTGGCTTGACCTGAGGTCACGTGGACAAGCTCCCCGTGGCTCAGCAGCTAGTTTTAGGGCTGGATCCGCATTTTCCACAGTGGAAGCAGGAGAGTGGGTGGAGGGTTTGGGGCAGCCCAGCATCTCCAGGGCCACACCAGGCAGCACAGGAAGGCTGCCATCCTGCCTTGGTCTCTAGCAGCGTCTGCGGGGGCAGGGGCGCCCCTCTGGTGGCTGCTCCCCAGCCCTGGCTCCCCCAGGCTCCCCTTTACCTCCCGTCTCCCTCCCTGATCCTTCAGACTGAGCCGCCTGCCAGCATCTCGGGAGCTGTCTCGAATACTCTCTGGGCCAAGCAGAGATCGGGTGGGTCTGTCCTGACCTCTCCCTGGCCACACAGCAGACCCGGCCCGACCACACTGGGTGTCTCACCCATCACCGCTCTCTGGCCACGCTGTCTTGGGTCTGATTCATCTCTGCTTCCACCAGACCCAGGGCCCCCTCCTCCCCCAGGCCCCCCACCCCAGAGGAAAGGTTCCTTTCCTCCAGTAGATCCTGACGCCTGTCCCCTGCCTGTCCCCTGGAACACGCACTCTGTCTGGGTAAAAGGGGGAGCGGGGGCTGGACAGCAGGCAGGAGGCATCCAGGACCATCTGGGAAGGCTGCCCACTGCCCAGCGTCATCAGGGAGTGGTCCTCAGGGCCCCATCCTGACCCAGGGAACCCTAGGCTGGCCGGCATGGGGCTTTCCTGTGGCCACTGTCTGACCCTGCATGCCCGTGGCCTTGCCCTTCCCCGCCTGCGCCCTCCACTCTGGACGGGCCTGGGCCTTGCTTGGCCCGCAGGGTCTAGCCCCATACAGGCACCATGCTCCTCTGAAGAGGAAATAAAAAGATCCCGCCCCAGGCTGGAGATGGCCTCTACTCCACTGAGAAAATGAGGCACAGAGCACACCCCCGACCTCCAGCCACGCCACCCGAGGCCAACCTCCCCCGACTTGCAGCCTCTCCCAGACTCCCAGGCCTTCCCCTGGGTCAGAGCCAGCATCTGCCCAGCCGTCACCTCTTAACGGGGCTTCTCCAAGGGGACCCCGTGTCTCGCCCTGGCTCCCTGCCTGGGCTTCCTCCCACCAAGGTCACCAACGCCCCTGCCCGCTCCTGGGTCCCCAGAGCATCGTCACCTCTGTTCTCTGTCACCTGGAGGACGAGCCTCCCTCTTAAAGGCTGCAGCTCAGGCCAGAGCTGACCCTGCCCGCTCTGACCACGCACCGTCCCGTGCAGGCTGGCCACGCCTGGCCACCTTGTCCTCAACTCGCTGCCTGGCACCATCGCACCCCAGCCGGGGCTCACCCCGGCTGCACACTGCCGCCCTGCCGTCCACTGTCACCCCCTCCCCGCTGCACCCTCCTCCCGGTGACCCCCCGCTGTCTTGTCTGGCACAGACTTTCTGGCTGGGCTGTGACTGCGGCCACTGTGACCCCACGTCCCTCGTCCCGAGGCGCACCAAAGCCAAGGCCTACCTGAGTGCATCCCCGGGAGCCCAGCGGGCGAGGCAGCAGCTCCCTAGACCAAGGAGAACACATGTCAGTCTGTCCATCCGGCTCCCGCTCACCCGGCACCCAGCCCAAGAGCCAGGATGCTACCCAGGAGTCCCAAAGGGCCACCCGCCAGGGAGACCAGCCAGGGGCCCGACTCCTCTCCAGGGGTCCCTGCCCACCCTGACACCCACAAACCCATCTGGGGTGAGGCGTCGGCAGCTCGGGCCTCCAGAACACAGGTGGCCTGGCTGCTCTCGTCAGTGTTGGTGGCCGTGTGTCACGCTGCCAGCTGTGCGGCAGGGTTTGTAGCCGTGAGATGCACGAGGGCTGTCACGTCACCCCTGGCCCCGGGCACTGCCGGCCTGCTCTAAGCAGGGCATCCCGGCTGAGCCACTCCTGGGGGCCCCGTGAGATGGGTCAAGGCCCCCAGACCGCAGGGTGGCCGCTTTGAGGTGCCTGATTGGAGGCGCAGAAAGACTCCGAGAAGGAAAGGGGTTCGGGGGCTTCAGAGCTGGGGGCAGTGTCTGCCGGCAGACTGGGAGGGAGGGACGGTGCCCACTGCCGGCACGTTCACTGCTGCCTGAGCCTCCATGCCCCAAACCAGTAGGAGCTGGGCCAGCCAGGGCCAGGGGCACCTGACGGGAAAGGGCCCGGCATCCCCGGCGCTTCTGAGGAGGACAGCCCAGCAGTGGGGTCTCATGGGGGGCTGCGGGCTGGCATCGGGGTGCAGAAGCCTGACCCGCTCTCTGGGAGGTCAAAGGGGCTGCCCAAACTCAGGACACAGCACCTCGACCCTGGTCCCTGCCAGGCTGCTGGGCACCTGGGCTGGCCTAACCCATCACCTTGTGTAAAGGCGCCCGGGCAGGCTTGGGGACTTGGGGAGGGTGTGTCTGACCTCCAACACCTGGGACAAGAGCCGACCGCCCTCAGGAGCCCCATCACTAGCTGCTCAGAGCCCCACCCACAGACGGCACCTGCTGTGCCAGCGGCGAGTCCTGCAGGCACAGCGTCAGACCCAAAGGACGAAACCACGTGCCGCGGGAGATGAGCAAACGCGGCGCCTCCTGTCCCCTCCCGCTGGGCGCCAGGGCCAGGTGGGGGCAGGTGGGTGCACGGGGCCTGGGGAGGCGAGGACGACTCTCTGGTTGCCCCCAGCCCTGCCATTCCTGGCACCTGAGAAGCCCACCCCACCCCAGGGAGGGTGAGTGAAGCTGGTGGCCCCAGGAATGCAGAAGCAGGTGTTCCCAGCCAGGGGCGCGAGGCCCACCCCGTGAGCTCCGGAAAGATAGGGGATGAGGCCAAAATCTTCCCGCGGGGCTACCCTGGCGGTGCACCTAGCCGCACCCGATGAGAGGCTCCATGCCTCTGGGCTGCAGGAGAAACTGAGGCACACCCTCCTGGGGGCTAGGCCCTCCTCCTGAGCCGCCCCATCGCCTCCCCAAAGGGCTGTGGTGGTCAGTGGCCACTCCCATGGAGGGCCCCTCCCTCCTCTGGGCCCAGGCCCTGGCCACGCCCCTCCAGCCCAGAGCCTGTCCCCTCCGGAAACTTGCTCCGACCGCGCCCGAGCCCTCACCTGGCAGCCCTCGGTCCACCCCTCCCGCCGCACCCCTCAGATGGCTCTTCCCTGAAGTCCCGGCCATCGACCTCGGTCCAGGAGACCAGAGGTCACAGCCAGGGTTCCCGCACGGGCCAGGGGAAGGCCGAAAGCCCAGCTCCAGCCCTCCCTGGCTTCACGTGGAGGGCAAGTCCCTCGGCCGCCGGGGCCACCACCTGCTCTGGTGGAGGGAGGGCCGTCTGCAGGGCACATGGGAGCGCAGCGGGGCTGGGCCTGGAAGATGAGGGCTCTGGCGGGAGCGGGCTGCCCAGGCCTCCAGGGCCGCTCCCCACAGCCCGCAGCACCAGCACCTCCCAGCCTCTTTCTTTTGCGACAAGGCTGGTGGGTCCCTCTGGGGAGGCGACAGTAGCAGTGAGTCGAGCCCCTTTGGCAGGCAGCCACCGAGCACTTCCATACAACGTCTCAGCAGGCCCCTCGGGGCCCAGGCAGGCGGACTGCTGTCCTCTCTACGGAGGAGGCCCAGACGGGGGCAATGAGTTGCTGGGGGCCGCCCAGCCAGCGGGCAGGGCCCCAGCTTGCCCTTCCCTGCACTGCAGTGTCGCAGGAACCGGGCCAGAACCCCAGCCCTCAGCGTCCACAGGGACCTGGGCCCCCCGGCTCTCTAACAGGGCGGTGAACAGGGTGAAGTGGGTGTGACGGTGGGATGTGGCTTCCCGGGATGTGCAGGAGGACCCTGATGGGGTCCCTGGAGCTCTGCTGCCCACATAGGGGAGACTAGGGGTGGGGAGGGTGCTCCAGGCTCAGAGCCAGGACCCTCACTGGCCCAGGAGGTAGGGTGTCCACCCTCACTGGACACCGGGAGCCACCTGCCTGAGCCTAAGGGACCACTGAGGACCACATTGTGCTCTCCAGTGAACGTGTGCACACACATCACACAGGCCACACACGTGCATGGGCACACGCATACACCTGGCACCCAAGCACAGATCACACCACACATGTAACACACGTGCACACAGGATGTGCACAGCCACACACAAGTGCATGCAAATGCATGCACGCCATGACACACATGCACGTTGCATGTCACACGTGTGTGCACGTCTCACGCACTGTACACATGCATGCGAATGAAAGCACTCACATGCACACATCGCACGCTGGCACACACACCACACACACGTGCACACGTGCACGAGGCCTGTGTGCTGCCTGAGGCTGCTCTCCTCGTTCACGCCTCCGGCGTGTTCAGGCTGAAGGCTGAACAGACAGGCGAGGCCTCTCCCTGCTCTGTGACGCACAGGGCACGGGAGGCCGAGCCCCTGGATTTCAGAGACAGTTAAAGGCCCCACTGGGAGGGCCGGGGTGGGAGGTGGACACAGCTGGCCACATGGAAAAGAACAAGACGATAAGAAAAAACAATTTTATTTCCAGTCTAAGAACGTATTACAAACAGTGTCAGGTGTGAAGAGCAACAGACGGCTTCAGCCAGCAGTGAAGGTACAAAGCGGAACGGTTACAGCTGAGCTGTGTGCGGGGCGCAGCCGGCCGGAGTCCAGATCGGACCGACACGGGCCTCGCCTTCCACGCGGGCGTCTGGAATCGTAGCGCGAACGGACAAACCAGGCCACGCAGCCAAAATCCATGCAGGAGAGCAGGCCGAGCCGACCGCGGAAGGCGTGGAGGAAGCGCGACGCCCGCAGGCGGCCCACCAGCAGTGCCTGGGGCCCCTGAATGCGAACGCCAGCCCGAGCCCCGCGTCCTCTGGTCCTGACCACCAGCCCCTGGCTCAGCCAGCAGGGCGGAGGGGGGCGCCCGGCAAGTGACCCCGACCCTGCCCTTCCCCGCCCGCCCCTCCCCCTGGAGCGCGCAGGTTCAGAAAATGGCGGCTGGGAGTGAGGCGTCGGGGTCCCGGGGTCCCGAGAGCCAGACCCCCAGCAGTCCCCGGGGCCTCCTGGGCCTCAGCAAACCCCCCAAAGGACAGACCACCTGTGCGCGCAAGCAGGTGAAGCCCCTCGGACACAGCGCAACGCGCAGGGAGGTTAGTCTCAGGCTCCTCTTTGATTGGGCCCCTGGTCCTTGGGCTCTGCCCCGGACCCGGCCCCCCACCTTCCAGAACGCACTTCCAGCTGCGGCCCTCCCTGCAGGCTGGACCCCCAGGCCCCCAGGCCGCCCCACGGCACGAGGGCAGCCCCACGAGGGCACCGCCCACCCGCAGCCGCTGCCCTCAGGGAGGCGCATTTACCTTCAGTCCTCCGCAGACGGGACACGCGGAAAAGAGAGCCGGAGGGGGCCCCGCGTGGGGGGCGCCCGCTTCCCAGGGCTCGCCCGGCCCCGACGGGGCCTCTGTCGCCTGTCCCCGCCGTCGCTCGCCCAGCCAGCCGGAGGGACACCCCGCCGCCAGCCGGCCGCCCGAGTCCCCGGCGGCTCCGTCGCTGGCGCTGCCCTGTGTGGCGGGGGGCTGGTCCCGGGCCGCCTGGCGCAGGCTGCGGGGCGTGTCGTAGTGGGGCCGCGGCGCGGTGGGCACCTGGTACTCGGCCGCCCCGGGGGCGCAGGCGCACAGGCCGGGCTCGGGCACCACGCCTCCCGGCAGGCTGAGCAGAGAGCCCAGCTCCTCGGCCCCGCGCCACACGTCCAGGCTGCTTCCTGCGAAGGACGAGAAGCTGCCCGAGTAGGAGGAGTGGCTGCCCGTGGCGATGCCGCTGTCCGAGGAGCTCTGGCGGCCGACCTCCTGCAGCTGCCGTGGCCGCAGCGGCCTGGGGGGTGGCCTCGAGGCACCTGCTGCGGCTTCCCCGGGGGCCTGGGCGGCCGCCAGCCCAAGACCCTCCGGCGTCGCGCCCACCGAGGACGGGGACGGCTCTGGCCACGGCACGAGCCGGCTGCTGGCGCTGACGTCTGAGTGGCTGGCCTCTGACGACGAGCTGGACAGGCTGCGGTCGTCCCCTGAACGGAGAGTCGGGGGCTGAGACTCCTGTGGGGCTTTGGCTGCCCGGGGTGGGCTGGGGAGCCTCGGTGGGAGCTGACGTCTAGCCCCCCCACGCCCCCGCCCTGCTGAGGGCCTGCGCTCTCCGGTCTCCAGTCGCCACCCTGGGACGGCTGACCCACACCCTGCCTGGACCTCCACGCCCAGCGTCACCCAGGACGGCCCCTTCGCCCACACCAGTCCCCTCCCTGCCGTCCCCCTGGGAACCAGACGTGAGCCCTTCCTCCGGGAAGGTGGCGGCCCTTGCGCACCTGAGCCCCCGCCTCTAGGGGCCTGGACGGAGAGGCCGCCGTCCCCACTCTGCACCCGTGGGACTGGCGACAATCACACAGGACAAAGGGCCCGCAGAGCTCCCCCGCCTCTGGCCCAGGAGACCCCGGTGCAGCCCCCCACCCACCACCCCCGGGAGCTGCAGCGTCCCCTCAAGGGCCTGCCGGCCCTTTCTGTCCATCTCCCCGCAGAGCACAGCAGCTGAGGGGCCTCGCTCCCGGCAGCCAGCACCCCTGAGCCTTCTGTGTGGGCACAGACGGTGAAGCCACAGCCTCACCAGGCCACACCCCGGTGGCTGGGAAGGAATTCGAACCCAACCCCCCAGCCGGCACCCACGGGGCACCAGCATCCAGGCCGGAGCTTAGTGAGTGTGGCATCACTAGTGAGAGAACGAATGGAACAGAGGGAGGGGCATGAATGAACGAACAGGAGCTGGGAGGTTGCCTTAAAGGGACAGCTGCGGCCCCAGGGCCACTGGCCCCCCCTCACAGCCCAGGCCATGGCCCTACCTGCGCTGCCCGGCCAGCCGGAGTGGGAGAGAAGGCTGAGCCGCTTCTCCAGCCGCAGGGCTTCCAGGGCCTCCTGGGCCACGCGCTCCTCCACGGCAGGGCCCCCGGCGCTCAGGTCTGCAGCAGAGGGGACAGTCAGCGAGGAGGCGTCCCCAGCCCTGTCCCCGCAGCCCACCCACTGCTCAGGACATCACAGTTACCCCAGCACTGACAGGGCTGTGTGGACCTCGGTCCAGTCGCAGCACCACGACAGAGCCCCTGGGAGCCCCAGCTCCTCCCCACGCCAGCACCCCAGCTGCCAGACACCAAGCTCAGGGTACCCAAACCACCCCCGTCCAGGTCCCCGGCCATCATCCTGTGTCCTGGGCCCAAGGACAGCCCCCCTGACCACCAGCAGATGTCCCGTGCCCCAAAGTGGACAGTCCCTGCAGTGGACCAGGACACTGGCACATCCTCCTGCTGCTGGTGAGGCAGCAGGACGCTGGCACTGGACGAACTCACAGCCCCACCACTTGCCCTCCCCGAACCTCGCAGCCATGACTGCAAAACGTGGGAGCAGAGACAGTGCACGCCACGCGCAATGGGACCAAGGTGGGAACGCACAGGACATGCTTGGGGCAGGGTGGGCCCCGGAACTCTGTCTTCTCCCCTTCCCCCTCCCCACTGTATGTGAGGCAGGTCCTGCCTCTGGTGCCCAAGTGCGTCTGACCGAGCAGCGGTCAGCTTGAGAAGACACCCCCAAATCTCAGAGTGTTAAGGCTGCTGACCCAGTGGAGGCCACATCTCAAAAGTCCCCAAAGATCACAGGCTTTCAACACGACACCGGCCAGGCTCAGCGAGCAGGGACCCACCAGCCCCGTCCACACCCCAGCTGTCCACACCCCCGCTGTCCACACCTGCCCCATCCACGCCCGCCCCCTTCTGATCCCGGCCACCCACACCACTGCCTGCGGCTGCAATGCGATAAGCCGCCAGCAGAGGGCGCTGCCGCACCACCCAGCAGAGCCCGGGCGGCGAGGCTCCGGTCACAGGAACTGCCTCCTTCCTCCCCACCCCGCCCCCCACCCCGCCCCCCGGGCCCGCTTGGGGGGTTGCGGGGCTGAGGGGCCCACGCTGGGAGAAAGGGGACCTGGCACGTCGCCAGCCCGTCTCCCTAGGAGGTCCACCTGCCCCCGACCTGGCTATGGTGCCCATGCAAGGAGGCCACGGATGTGAGCTCACTGACCACCTGCTGCCCGGCCACAGGCCTTGGTCTCCCACCTGGACAAGGGGACAAGCGCTGCTTCACTGGGGCGAGGGGAGTATCGGTGACCCTGGGTACCACCCACTCGCAGAGCCTCGGTCAAAGGAAGCTGCGATGACGAGGACCAGCCTTTGTCCCTGCCATGGGCTTGGGCCTCCCCAGCCTCCCCGAGGGAAGAAATGCCCAGGTAGCGTGGCCCTCCGCGGGCCAGCGCCATCCCTGGTCCAGGACTCCTGAAGAGCAGTGTCCCAGCCACAGCCAGGGAAGTGGGAGAGAAGGCCAGGCCAGCTCATGCAGCCCTGGCACCTGCCAACCTGATGCGCTGAGACCCCAGCTCACAAGGCGACTTCCAGCCCGATCTCTGGCTCCCACGGAGCCAGCCCTGACCCCAGCGACCGCAGGCGAGGGCCCAGCCCAGGTCTGGGAGACGGGCCGGCTCGGAAGGTCTTCGGGGTCCCGGGCTCGGGCCTCTTGCTGGCCCACCTGGTGCAGCTGCAGTAATTGTCCCAACCGAAAGCCTCGGCCTCTGAGCGTCCCAGCAGCTCAGACCCCGTGGAGGAGGGGCTGTGCCAGGGCGAACGCCCCCGGGAGCCCGAGATCAAGCAGCCCACCTGACCCTCCCACCAGGCCGGGCTCCCCAACTCCGGCACCCACCTGGGAGAACAGGCCGCAGCCCAAAGGGGCCCTTGGTCGGGGAGATGCCGCGGACAATGCAGTCGAACAGGAAACTGATCTGCTCTCCCTCGGCCGAGGACAGGAAGAAGACCCCAGCCCCTGCAGAGGGAGGGCAGACCCCGGTGTCAGCCTGGCCAGAGCTCGGGTCGGTGGGAACCCTGCAGGGCGGGCTCAGGGCCGCTGCACGGGGACTGCCCACAGAGGCCTGAGCCAACCCGTGAGACACCCCCCCCCCCCCGCCCCGAGCACCGCGGCGATGTCCCCACAGCACTGTGGTGACGTGAGCCATGCAGGCGGCTCAGGCCACACGCCGGCTCTCCCAGGCCTGAGGACACCATCACGGCCTGAGTCCAGGCTGCACGGCCTCAGCAAGGTGGGAGAGGGCGTCCTGCCCGCTGGCCCCAAGCCGTCAGCCATCTCTCGTCTCCCAGGCTGGTTAAGAGGAGCTGGGGCGACTTCTGGAGGATGGGGGTCACAGAGTGGGCCGAGGAGGGCGTCCCGGCTGCGTGGAGAGCCCAGCAGCCCCTCCCTCTGGCCCACGCTCCTTTGAGGGGTGGGCGGCGGGTGCACTTCCAGGAGGGCGGCTGCGAGACCTGGTTTCCTCACCCGGGCTGTGGTGAGGGGAAGCTGGCAAGATACAGGCGGTGGCTCCTGCCCTGCAGACGAATCAGCCTGGCCCACCTCAAAGCCCCTCCCCTCTCCCCGGGCTCGTCTTCTGGGTGGGGGGCACTGGAGCCCCTGGCGCGCAGTTGCAGGGCTGAGATCCAGCCTCGGGGCTCCCACCCACAGAGGTGATTTTAAAAGACACGTTTACATACTGAGATACGGGAAAGTCATCGTGGCTTATACACGAGTTCACTTGAATTTGATGCTAACTAAAATAGCCTACTTGTGGTCTATCAAATTGTACATCTGCCTTAATTATTAGAGAAAAGGGCACGTCGACCAGCAGTAAAGACTGTCCACGTTAAACATAAAGATTAAATAAATGCCCCTCCTCCTTCGATGCTAAGCCCCCCTCCCAGGTGCCAAGGCCACGCTGACTCTGTGTACGCGCTGGTCTGTTTTTTTATTTTTATTATTTTTTGAAACCTTGAAGAAACGTCACCCTGACTGCTTTGATGGTCTTTGTTCTGGCAAGATATAAAGCTGTGCCGAAAACCCTGCTTTTCCCGAGTCATCTGGGAAGCAGGTTTCCGGGCCCGTCCTCGGTTTGGCTCCAATAAAACTCTTTTCTATTCTTATTATTGATGGTTTATTGATTACTTCCGTTGACAGAGGGGAGGCCCGGCTGGGATCCCAGCCCAGGGGGCTCGGCCGGAGAGGGCACGTGGGCCTGCAAGACACCAGGGCGCAGAGCGGCCGCAGGGCCCTGCGCTGGGCCGGAGCCCCGCCAGCGTCAATGAAATCCCGCGGCCGAGTGAATGGGGCACCGGGTCACCGGGGCTGGACGCCCGGCGTGGCGTCACCACACAGGAATCCCTCGCTGCCTCGCCCTCCTCCCTCTGCCCAAAGAAAGGCCTGCGCCCTCTGGAAGGAGGGTGCCCGGGGCAGACGGGGAAGCGGCGCACTGAAACTGTCCCAGTCACGCTCACTGGCACCGAATCCCAGGGACTCGGGCCAGTCCCACACGTGGTGAGGCCGCCGTGCCCCTGGGCGGCCACCAGGGCCCAAACCGGTGACACGCCCGCTCGAGAGGTGAGAAAGTGGACGCCCAGAGAGGGGCCACGTCCTGGCACTACGGAGCGTCTGAGCAGACGCAGAGCCAGGCCCACCCTGGGGGCCCCCGGGGGCCCCCACGAGGCTCGCTGCCCAGAGGGGCTGGGTTGGGGGATGGTCCCGGGACCTTGGCCGACGGCGGGCGGGCGGGGAGGAGGCCCCGTCCCGGCCACCCCGGCTCCCGGGGCCAGGCCTCTAATCCGGAGCTTACGGTCAGCTGGCAGAGGCCTCGGCACAGTCAGTCCCCCGACTATAAAAAACCACATGACGGGGAGCGGGGCCGGCGGCATTCCACGGGAGTCTGCGAGCTCCCGAGCCTGAGCCTCACAACCAAGGGACGAGGCCTCCCGGACCAGCGGCAACCGCCCGCTGCCCCGTGGCTCCCCTCCCCACCCCAGGCTCTGGGGACAACAAGCTCCCCAGGTGTGCCCGGCCCGCCTGACACACCTCCCCCGGCGTGGCCGTCCCCCCCCACGACTCCCCGCAGCCACCCGTAACACCCCTTCACCTGCTGAGACTGCTCGGGTGACATGGCCTTTCCTGACCCCTGACCCCTGACGGTTCACCCGGTGATGCTTTCAGGGGACACCTCCTCTGGGGCAGACCCCCCGACCTTTTACCTCCCGGGTCTGACGCTGTCCCGGCCCCCAGGCCCAGCACCTTGAGGCAGGACCACTTCTGAGTCGTCCGCAGTCCCCTGCGTCTAACCCAGGGCCAGGCGCCCAGGAGACCCCCGCGCTCAGTGTAGATGGAAAGGGGGCGTGGAGGCAGCCGGGCCCCCTCCCCTCCCCAGGGAAGGGCTCTCCGCATTTCTTGTTTGCTTATCTGTTTGGGGGGAGGGGAGGCAAGCTAGGGCCTGGACCCGTTTTGCCACGTTGTACCAGTGTGGCCACTGTCACGACGCCCCGCGTGCCTCCTCTCAACCACGTCCGTGAAGGCTCCACCCCGAGGCGGGCTCTCTCCCGGGGTCTGCGCCACAGGAAGTAACCGAGGGACGCTCCTTAGGGTTTGGGGCCGAGGCCTTAGGGGCTGGAGACCCCCACGTTTGCTCTCCGGGAACCAGCCACCCTGTGAGAAACCCGGCTGTCCTGCTGGAGGGCAAGGCCCCAGAGGAGAACTGAGGCGTCCCGGCCAACAGCCAGCACCAGGGCCCCAGGCCGTGCCTGAGGCCACCCACCAAACGCCACTGCCCGAGTGACCCCAGTGCACCATGCAGAGGAGACCACTGACCCACAGAACCGCAAGCCAGGAAACAGCACTAAGTTTGGGGTGTCTGTCCCCCAGCAATAAATAACACGGGAAACTAACAGACGGAGGAGAGGGTCCTGCGGAGCAGGAAACAGCCGCCTGCGGGTCCACGGACACAGCCGCTGTGGATCCTCAGGGGTGCAGCAAAACTCGCCCGCGTTTTAATATCTCCAGCCGCGAGAAAGAAAGGCCTTCCTTCAGACGTTCAATGAGCCCAGTTAGATCCCAGCCGAGTCCCAGCTGAAGTTAGTCTTTCATCTGCAGCCTCCAGACCTCTGTCACTGGACCCCAATAAGAGCTCAGTCCCCAGCTCCTCAGAGAACAAGCATCCCACCCTTTGCTGACAAAGACCCCACGGTGAAGTCCAGTCGAGGACAGAGTCTGAAGGCGTTGGAGGACTTTCCTGCCGAGAAGGTTCTAGAAAGCTCAAGTCCAGACAGCACCGATTATCAGTCAGGAAGTTGGCACAGCTAACTGAGCCCCTTGGGATATTATTTTGCACAGAGTTTCCTAATAGAGTAAAACATCTGGTAATTAATGTTTCGTTTGTCTCTGCCCTTATTTGGGGAGAAAGAAGCACAGTGCAATGAAATAAGTTCATTCGAAATGAAGTTTTAAATTTCACCTGATCATTTCATACCCACTAGGAGGACTACTATTTAAACAACAAAGAAAAAGAAAACTAAAATGAGACTGAAAACAAGTGCTGGTGAGGGTGCAAGAAACTGGGCCCTTCGTACACTGTTGGTGGGAATGTAAACCGGGGCAGTCGTGTGGAAAACGGTGTGGCAGATCCTCAAAAAATTAAACAGAGAAACTCCATCTGATCCAGCAATTCTACTTCCGGGCACACACCCAAAACAATTAGAAGTGAGGTCCTGATGAGATATTTGCATACCCACGTTCATAGCAGCATCACACACAATAGCTAAAATGCGGAAGCGATCCAAGTGTCCATCGACAGATGGATGGAGAAACAAAATGTGGTCCATCCATACGGTGGAATCTGATTCAGCCTTAAAAAGGAAGGGAACGGTGACACCTGCTACAACGTGGACGAACCCCCAGGACACTGCGCTGAGTGAAACAAGCCCGTCACAAAAGGACAAATCCTGCAGATGCCATTTATGTGAGGTCTCTAGAGTCAGCAAACTCAGAGATGGAAAGGAGAATAAAGGGTGCAGGGCTGGGCGGGGAGAGGGGATGGGGAGAGAGTGTTTAATGGGGCCAGGGTTCGGGAAGATGAAAAGATTCTGGGGCTGGGGGTGGTGATGGGGGCAGAATCATTGCAGGAATGTGCTCACTGCCACTGAACTACGTGCCAGGAGTGGTTTAAATAGTGCATTTTGTGTCATGTACATTTTACCACAGCAAAACAAAAACGAACAAGACCAAAACAACAAACAGCTCCTCCGGGAAGCAGGCTCTGTCCCATCCTCGAGCGAGCCGTCTCCCCACCCTCTTCAGCCCATCCCATCCCCATCCGGGCAGGAGGCAGTCACGCAGTGCAGGCACCTCACATCCTCACGGCCGCTGCTAGATGCCAGCCGCCTGCCCTGACAACACCGCCTGCACACAGCGGGCATCTCCCCCTTGGAGATGTGGGATGAGGCTCGCATGCCATCACGTCCAGATGGTCCCAAGAGGCCACCCTGCAGGTCCCCAAGGTCAGGAGGACACGGGGCCTGCTTTTCTGCCTAGGAGGAAACAGACTGAAGCAAAACACCCCAAAAAGGAATCCCCGAGTCTGCTGAGAGCTGAAAAGTGTCTGGTCCTGCCCCACTTAACCCCGGGGCCAGGCGGGCGCTGGGCTGGCTGGCAGCACAGCAGGGCACGCAGGGTGGGGTCAGGTCCCCCCAGGGCCAGACCTCGGCTCCAGCACGCTCAGAGGGACAGGCCAGGGCAACTCACGGACAGCTCCGTGCCTCAGTTTCCCTGCCTGTAATGGGGACGTGCACACACCACGTAGGGTTGGTGTGAGGACCTAGAACCCCACGAAGTATGGGGCCCTGCAAGGGGGTCTCTTGGGGTGACTATCACCCCAGCCCCATCTCTCCCTGGCCCTGTGCAATTCAGGCCTCCCTGGACACCCAGAGTGTCACCTCCCTGGACACGCAGAGCGCCCAGAACCA